TTGAAGCCCCAGAGCCTCAGGGAGCCTTGAACCTCGAGCACGACCTTCCCCGAGTGGCCTGGCGCCGTTTCTGTTGTTTCTGCCACAGGCCCGGGTCTCCCACTGAAGCCTCCACTAGCCCTCCCCACACCCAGAACGGCACAGGAGGGCCAGGGGCTCACTCGCCCAGCCCCCTGGAGTGTCACCAGGCTGTGACTCAGATCTCCCTGAGAAGCAGACAGAGCCCCCCAGCCTCCCCAGCCTCGCCCCACCCCCCGCCCTGCTCCACGCCCTCCTACCGGAGGCACAGAGCTCCGCAGCTCCGCGCACGCAGCAGGGCACAGCCCGCCTGCAGCCCCGGGTCCGCGCACGTGACTCCTTTGCCTTTATCTCGTTAGCATCACGCGCGGCTTCATTAACCAGCCAGATGAATCCTTGCGTAATTGGAGCTAATAAATTTAATTTTCTACTTTCTATTTTTTATAATAAAACAAAGTCATATTTTGCCAACAGGTCAAGGAAGACTCCGCATTGCTGTTTTGAGTCAATGTTAGGCCGAGAGCACAAGATGGCAGGCGGGCCGGGGCGGGTCCCTGTCACGGGCCTGGCTGCCGAGTTTGGAGTTTCTCAGGCACTGAACGTGAATGGGACCACGTTCCCGATCCTACAGAGAATGAAACTAGGGGCCCATGTGACAGCTGGTGCTTCTTTCCACTGCAAGACGTGACCACGATGGCAGCGGTCCTGCCAGGCCAGTGTGAAGAGTAGGCGACACGAGGCCCACAGTTATCAAGGACACATCCCGAGACCAGCTAGGTGATTTGCCGATACGCAAATCAACGTGTCTTGGAGGGAGTTTCTCCCCAGGGTCCTTCTCGGTTTCAGCCAGGTGAGCTGCCTGGATGACACACACCTCCCTTGTCACTCCCGTGCCACCAGCAGGCGAGAAAGCCAGGGATGAACCAGCACTGGAAACATGGACGCGGGAGGAAGGCTCGTGAGAGGGGGCGGCCCGGCCGGCCGCACAGCTGACGCGCACGGGCTGAAGCCTGCCTGTGCCTCGTCCCTGATTAACAGAGCCTGGCTGCAAACTCAGAGGCAGTTAATTTATTGTGAGTTTTATTAGGCATATAAAAGGGAGGCAGGAATGACTAGCCTTTCGTCGCTCGAGATACATTTCATCCGTGACTCGGAGCAGATTCCTCGCAGATTAAGCTTGTTAATTCCCCTCCCGCCAACATTCTTCTCCGCATTGCTGAAGCAAAAGCCACGGGCTCTTGTCTGAAATGGATGGGATGAAAAAGGCTGGCGGGGACCCCCTCCCCCTCCCGGACAACAGTTACATTAACCACTTTGTCCTTTTAATTCATCTAATTACATGCAAGGAGAAAGCCTCCGCCTTAGCAGGCTGCCCGCGCCGCGCCGCAGCGCGCTGCCGCTGGGCCATTGCTTTGGGCTTTTTGTTGTCTTATTAGGGGCGCTTTTGTTCAGAGGGATGGTTAAAGCCATTTTCAGCAGCCAGCGAGATGAAGCCGTTTCAATAAGGACACAATGTACTTGTTTAAATTACCTTTCAAAATGCTCCAAACCATTAAGGGGGAGGTGCTGCAAATAAAAGTTGGATTTTTTTTATAATGTTTTACCCTAATAACAGCTTTTATTTTATTATAATCCATTAGTTGACAATATTATTCTATAGATTATTAGGCAGCAATTTTGTTATTTTATCACACTTTCAGCACTCACTCACCGGGCCAGAATCCACAAATCTCAGTATAATATGCTTTCAATTTTGTTAAAATCTCTATTTAACTGGTTTGGCTGCGGAACATCTTGGCAAATGTGTTTTTAATTTCGTTCTAATTAACTTGACAGTTGACAGAACTCGACGGTGGCAGGATGGTGGCCCCTTTTCCAGGGTCCTCGCCGTTCCGTTCCCGGGGTCCGTTTTTTTTCCCTCTCCGGTCCTAACAAGCAAGATGTCAGAGCTAACATCCAGGAAGAGGGTCTTTCGTCTCTGTCAAAAGTACATGCTATTTTTTAAAAACCAATTAAAAAATCTGGCTTTCCTCTTTATCTGTAAAAAGAAGGTCACTGGTTCTGTGAGGTTCTCAAAAAAAAAATGGTTTGTTCCTACAGATGCGGGTTCTAAGAGAGGAAATGAAGACCAAGCAAGTGGACAGGAGGGTGTTTGGGTGCCCATTAGGAAGCCAGCTCTTTCCCAAAGAGGCACTATGAAAGGGCGGCCGTACTCCCTCTATTTCACCCCTACTTAGGGGAGAAACAGCCTTCAGCACTCTGCTTTTTGGAGAACAGCCCCGAGAAGAGCGGCACTGAACGAACTTAGCCTTGCTCTTTAAGCAATTCCAAGTTCTCTCTCTGGTCTGGGGGATTTCGCTCTGGTACCCACTCTCGAGGTGCCGTGCACACCGTTGCTTCCAGAACCCTGCAGCAGCCCAAGACCCCGCCTTCTTCCCCGACCCCGAGCAGTGCCAGCAGGGCGGGATACAAGTGGGCCCGAACCGCAAAACAACTAACGTTTTTTAAGAAGAAGAAATCATGCCTTCCTGATGTGGAGGCAAAACGAATCTGTACAACAAATTCGATCATCCCTATAGCTCTTCTTACACGAACAGAGATGGGCCTCCACGGGACTGCGTGGGTGGACACCTTCCGCTGATTTGAGCCAGGTACTTGAGTGACTATTAGCAATGTGCAGGGAATTTGGGGGCGCCAGCTTCTCCCATCAGTTACCTGCATCTTCTTCACGCCCCTGCTCCCTCCCTCGCCCTCCCTGCCTTGCTCAGATGTTGTGAATTCTGCCCATAACTAGAAATTCCCTGATTCCACATTTGTACTACTCATTATGCTTCTGTTCAATTATTAAGAATGTCAGTCCTACCAGGACCCTCAGAGATGAATCACTATAACGTCTTCCTCGCATTAATGACAAAAACTCATGGCTCAAGGGACGTGGGACTCACCAAGACACCGGCTAGCAAGACACGCAGACTGTGGTTGCGGACGGGTCTTCTGACTCCCAGTCTGTGCCCTTTCCTGAAAAGTCCCTTGGAAAAAGTTCTAGTTCCGTCAAAAACAAACAAATGAAAAAATCAGTATGGTCTTTTTTTCTGGTCTACGTCTGAATTTTGAATTTTCGTTTTTATTTCCAAGAACGTTGCTACACCATTGTTTGGCATAGGCCATTAGAGTAAAACAAAGCATTTGGTGTGCGTGTTTTTAAAAGGTACTATGTTTTTAGCCCCAAGCAAACAAACTATAAATGCCTAGACCAATGATTTTCAAACGGGAGCAATTTTGCTCCCTGGGGGACATTTGCCAATGTCTGGGGACATTTTTAGTTGTCAGGACTACGACAGGGGTGTGCTACTGGCATCTGGTGGGGAGAGGCCAGGGATGCTCTGGAACACCCTATAAAGCATAAGACAGCCCCTCCCCCCACCACAGAGAACCACCCAACCCCAAATGCCAGTGTGCCCAGGTGGACAAGCCCTGCCCTGCCCTTGCCTGGGAGTAAGCGTACATCTTGCTCAGGGCGAGGAGAGGATGACTACCCTGCAAGGGAGAATGAAGCCAGGTCACCCAAGCCCCAGGGGTCGTGACGAAAGCAGGATTTGAACCCACATTACAGAGACAGTGCCCATTCTTTTTTTGCCCCACCTGGCGAGCAACTAACTTACCCATATTCCCTGCCTCTGCTACGTAACTTTAATAATTGCAACTATTCCCCTTGGCCTGTTTTCTCTCTCCATTTGATGGAGGTATAATGGGGTTGTAATGAGGTATAGCCCAAGTAAAGCATCTAGTCAGCACCTAGAACGCAGTAGGCAGTCAACACGTCGGAGAGGTGACGATGAGGGTGACATTGGTGACGACAGAGCTGCTGCCCAGTGTTTCGGCCGGGATGGGGGGAGGGCATGCATCTGCCCTCCTTGCCCAGCATCTTTCCTACAGAACAGCAATGTGTCTGCTCAAATGCATTAGGACTCTCACCCAGTCTCACGCTCCCTGTCGTAAGAAGTTTGCAAACTAATGAAAATTTGGCAGGGAGAAGTGAAAAAGAGGCAAGAGGCAAGTGAAAAAGAGGCAAAGTGAAAAAGAGGGAAGAGAAGAATGAGAACACGATACTGTCCTTTGCGGGATGTGACCCACGTCCCTCTTCCAATACTCCCGGCAACCCAAAAAGGCCCCAGTAAATTCTTTGGTCAGAGCCAGCTGGTAAACACCGCGTTCTGCTCCCAGCCGCCTCCGCCTGCGTCCAGCCTGTCGCCTGAGCATGATTCTGCTCCGACACTTAGAGCTATTTCGGAAACACAAGCCCGAGCCTCCTTACCAGGTCCCCCGTGGTGACGGCCGTTGCTAGGTGTGGGGAACCAGATGACAAGATCTGAAGCCATGCTTTCTGACCAGAATGATAATCTGCACCACTAAATATCAGTCGTGCTCATGGCCAGCACTGCTGCCGCCACCATTCTCACATCACGTCCGAGGAGTCGCTGCGCAGGGCGGGGACGGGGTGCAAGGGCAATCTCAGAAAGATGGCCCGTGCATAAAAAACTTCTTTTTCAAATTAATTGGCAAAGAGAAGTAAAATGTTCTTCCAATACTTTGTCTCCAAAACTGTTCTCTGGCTCGTGAACATCTGTCAAGAATATATATATATATATCTCCAGGGCTCCAAATCGCCCAGCTTTTAACATCCAGCTTAGTTAAGCCGCAGAGTTTAACTAACACACTGCTCCTTACGGAAACGGCACTAGAATAAAAGGGAATTTTATTTCTTCACTGGATGCATTTCATCCCTTCTGGATGGTGGTACAGCTGTGGGCGTCAGTGAGTCCTCCCTTCTGTGCCCTCCTCCGCACCTCCATCTTACCAGCCCAAATTCAGCCTTCCCAGGACAGTCTACCAGGGCATGTGTTTGACCATGGAGCACCATGTGTGGCCATTAGAAAGAAAAGAAAAATCAATAGGGTTTCATTAAAACAGCAGGCAATCAGGGCCCAGCCCTGGCTTAATTACAGTTTCAGTAGCATTTGCTTTAATTGGAAAGAATAAAAGAAGTGAAGTGGAGTGAATGAAGAAATTAGCATATCTATCACTGTTGTCACATTGTACCGTGGCCTTAAAACACTGTTCGCTCTTTCGTATCTCTGGAGCTGCTCCGAACCCTGAAAAAAAATAAAAATATGGCATGGCAATTAGCAAATCCTCTGGCTCCACCTTTGTGAAATTCTAATTAAAGTCTTTTATAATCTTTTGGAAGTCATTTTTAAAAATCTGCTAGATATGCCAGATACACCATGCAACATGTCTGCTAATTATGCCTGCCTGGCGCGGTGCGGGAAGGAGAATGCAATTGTCTTGGGCTGTGTGTACATTTAAGGCAGTTTGCAAGCCTGCTGTGGCAGCCCACAAGAGACTCAGATGGTAGCCTCAAGGGAAGCTTCTACCAACCAGGATTCTTTCTGCTTTACCAGACATCCCAATAGTTGCAGACACAGGAAATATCAGAGGGTCCTTATGTGTCAACTCGTCCAAACCCTACCCCCATTTTACAGATGTGGAAACTGAGGCCCAAGGTCCCCAGACTAGGATAGGATAGAGCAAGAACTTTTTCCCAGGCCTGTTTCTTGTCCAATTCCAGTCTTCTATCTACTATCCCATAATATTTCGTCTGGTGATATTTCAGGAAAACCTTCCCTGTTGAGAGAAAATATCATCACAATGGATTGACTTTTATTCAGTAAAAACTCAGACATTTCCTTTCATATTGTGTAACCCAGATAACATGCTCACACACCCCACCTAGCATGTGACATTCCATACAAAGAAATTCCTCCTTTCGGAATGGTTAAGGGGTTAAAACCAATCTATGGCTAGGAGTTTGGTTGGAACACAGCCAAGGAAAGGCTTTCAAATTCACGTCCACTGATGCAGGAACAGCAGATGATGGAGGCAGAGCCAACCTTCTCACGGACTTGGATTCTGGAAAGAAATGTTGAATACCTACTCATTCCCCTGAGTCTCATGGGGGTCACAGACATGGCTAATCAGAGCTTCCATTTATGAGAGCCTATTTTGTGTTCACATAGAGGTTTTATTATCTCCACTTTAAAGATTAAAAAACTGAGGTTAAGTTATTTGCCCATGGTCATATAAGTCACGATCTGGGATTTAAACTCCAGTTTGTTTCCAAGAGGCTTCTTTGCTTGGCCCTGGCAAGGCAAAAACCCAATTCCAGGGTAGAAAAAGACAGAAGGTCTGGGCATCCCACTCTGGGAGTTGCTTCTCTTTCCAGCGCATGCCTGATGGGACGGAAGCCCAGGCGGGTCCTTCTGAAAATCTACCCAGACCAGGTGCTTCCTCCCAGCCACGAGGGACGGCACTACTCATTTGTGACGAGCCTCTGCCCGGAACAGCAGCTCATTGTGCAGGTGAGGAGAAGCGCAGTGTGGTCAGGGTGCAGGGGCCACCTTGAGGTCAGGGGGACGTGGCCGGGGGACAATAGAGAGACCTCCATGCAGAAAATTACAGAGAGGAAGCGATTCATTGTCCCTTCACAAATGGTCATCAGGAAGTGCGTGATTGGCTTCTCACTGGAGCGTGGCAGGACCTTGTCCCGGGTCAGTCCTCGGGGCAGCCCCGCCCTGCAGGCTGGGAGGCAGCGGGAGGAGTCTGCTGGGCACCAGGGACACAGCGGGTCCGGCCTGCAGGCCAGTGCTGAGTGCAGGACATGCTCCGACTCCCTGAACACTCATTGCCTGGGGAGGGGGCTGAGAGATGCATTTCACACAAATGCATATCACAACCACCCAGGTAGAGTATGGTTTGGGGGCCACTGGAGGAGAGGCCTTCTGGGCACCTGGGCCAGGTTTGGGTCCAGTACCTGGAGTGCCCGGGAAGGAATCACTCTCTGCCTCACCTGCTCCCAGCATGAGAAACGTGCCGGGTTCTTTTGGGTACTTGCTCTCAGCTAGGGGTAGGCATACGGCTGCCTCCAAAATCTACTGTGGGAGGGGCACCAGGGTAGCCCCCACTCCCCCAAAACAATCAAGAAGCTACCCCCCATGGCCTAACAGAGCCCCCACTGGCCTAGAAGCTGGGCACATTGGTGTAGACCATGCAGGCCCAGGTCTTGCAGGCCGCAGGGAAGTGCCAGGTGCAGCCTGGCCTCCCAAGAGGACCCCACAGTCACTGGAGATGAGAAGCCACAGCGATGCTTGGCAGGAGGTGGCGGAGGGCCCAGCACCACGCAAGTGTCTGCAACCCCCAGCACGTCCCACTCAAGATGGCCCTCGAGATGGGGAAGGAGGCCTGGTCCCAGCTTTGCAGGACCTTGAGCAAACCGCCTCTACCCTGGGCCTCAGTTTCCTTGCCTAATAATGTGCCCCTCACTCAGTGCACCCCACCCCACCCAACCCCACCAAGACATCCTCTGCGGCTGTGACCTGAGGCACATAGCAGCCCTCTGACCTCAGGGGCCAGAGCTCAGCCTCAGGAGGGCCTCAACTGAGGAAGGAAAGAAAAAAATTCACGCCAAAGCACCAGTCCAGGATCCCAGAGCTGGGATGGGGATACACTGAGAAACGGGGGCCATGCCAACCAAGGCAAACACCCCCACCCCACGAGGGGCCGTCCAGGGCAGAAGGACGATCGTCCTACAACAGCGTGGCTGCGGTGAATGGAGCCAGTCCTGCCGGGGCCCCTACTCTGGGCAGGGCGTTGTTCTGATTCCTGACTGCATGAACCGCGGGGTCCCACAAACACTGCGCTGCTGGCAGGAGGCGGACACCATGCGACTCTCCCTCTGCAGATGAAGCCACCGAAGCACGGAGGAGGCTGGCCACGTGCCCACGGTTGGTAAGTGGCCCAGACGAGTGCTCTCTCAGCCCCTCTCTCAGTGCGTCCACACCACCTTCTCCCACCAGCTGGCATGTGGCTTCAGCACCCAGGCCTGGGCACCGGCTGTCACGTTGGTGGGAAAAACTGAAGGCGCCGAAAGCCGGGGGCCCTACGGGACATGGAGACCCCCACAGCACTTTCTGCCCCTTTGCCCCCACACTCAACCCTGTCGTTTTTCCTACGAGAACATGGACACCGACACCTTACCCTGGAAAGGCAATTGCGTCAGATGGGTCAGCCCACAGGCTTGGGATTCAGTCGGCTGCCCGAGTTCAAACCCCGTCCTACTGCCTCCCGGCCACAGGCCCACGGCGGTCTCCACTGTGCGGACGCTCGGGTTCCTCCCCTGCAAGGCGTGCTCACCACGGTGCGCTCACCACGGCGCCCCCCTCATTTAAGGCCGAATTTAATGAGATAGTCCGAGTGTGGCACTCACCACCAGTCGCTGAGCCTCGGGCCACTGCCATGTAGCCTTGGGCACCCTGGGGTAGCCCCCAGCGTGCCTGGGGTGGAAGAGGGTTCCTGCTTGGGACAAAAGAAACATTCACCTCCCAATCAGGGTCCAGCAAGGTTGTCCTGGCCCAGCCTCTCTGTGACGTGGACAAGCCCCTTGCCCGAGGGCCCCCCGGCCGCCGCCCCCCCGCCCCAAAAAGCCAAGCCGAACCAACCGGGGAGGGGGGCCGGAGATGGCTGGAGCACCGCAGGCGCTGGACCAGGGCGCGAGGAAGGGTCCTCCCCCGGCCAGCTGCCTCTCACCCTGTTCACACGCTGCATCCAAAGTCCTGCCGGACCCGCCGCCCGGGGCTGCGTCGTGGCCTTTTCGATGGAGGTGGAGGGTGTTGGCGAGGCGACCCATCTCAGCACAACTGAAACGCAGCCGCCACCATTAACTAGGACAAACAGCGCCCTGCGCGCGGCACGGCCGGGCGGGCACTCGCCGGGGCGGTAATTAGAGGGGAAATATCCTACAGGCAGCTTAGCTGCGGAAAACCATTTTCATTGAAAATATACATTTGTAATTGTAAATGGAAAGATTACCTGTAATAGCGGTAACAGACCCATTTCCTAATAAGATGAACGCTGTAGCTGAGGACTGAAGCATCTGTAGATAGCTACGTACACCATTTCTGTGCTGCAGCCTGCCAATTTGTCTCAGCAGCGAAAAGCGTGATTTAGTGTTTGTAGCATTACCATCTGTTGTCGTTATTACAGAAATTATATATAAACCAGTTAGTAAACACTTTGCCGCATTGTCTGTTGTTTTGATAATCACCCATAATAACATCTAGCATCAATATGGTCTTTAAACCCGATTTGGGAGTTAATGGAATAAGAGGAGGCTGTCTGTATATGCACGGGGGTAATGTCATTAGGAATGTTTGTGAAGAACAAATTAAATCAGTTGTAAATTGTGCTCTCAAGTCAGCCAGAAAACCAGTCTTGTTCAGGAGAAGGGATTTATATTTTAACCTCGTGCAGAAAATGCACTTACGCAGATTAAAATAAAATAGGGACTTTGCCGATGGATGGAAGTGGTAATTGCTAGGGCCTTAATGGCTTCCTGTTGGCTGTGTCATGCAGTGGGCACAGCTATTTTAAAAGTTAACCGGCACTCGGGGTCATACTTTCACTGATTCAGTCATTAAACCAGGCTAGACATGTCACTAAATGGCTGATTATTCAAATGGCGAGCCTGCTCCACGGTTCCCCGGTGTCGTCTGTCGAACACGGGGATTTTCAGGGACGGTTCTCATAAAATCGAGATGAGTTGGATTCAAGTACGAGTCAATGGCGGCACTGGGCTGGGGCCTGGCCCACCTGGGCCTGCCTCCTCTGACAGGCGGGGCTGGCGCGGCCCTGGCCGCCGAGCCTGGTGCTGGGCTGTGGGCAGACTTCCAGGGCAAGAGCCAATTTGTGGGTGTGTCCGCAAGGAAGCCATGCCTCCACGAAGAAGTGCCATGGGGATGGGGAGCAGTCAGAGAAGGTGGCAGGGACGGCCGTAATTCCACGCCAAGACTGTCAGCACCGCGGTCGCCGGCCCGGTTACGTAGCCAGGAGGCCGTGAGGGCAGCGGATCCCAGATCTGCTCCTCCGCACCCTGCTCCTTCCTGACGCGCCTCCGCTTACTTAGGGAGCGCTCGCTCTCCAGGCCTTCCCCTCGCATGGCCTTGTGATCTCCCTGGGAGACGGATTTCACTAGTGCCCCCATTTTGCAGGTAAGCAGACTGAGGCTACAGTGGGTCCAGCTTGTGTGAGTGAGGCCAGACAGCTGGCAAGAGGCCCAGACGGAAGGTCTCAAAATGTTCCCACAGCACTGAGCTGTTGAGCAAGTGGGACCAAAAATGGACACTTACCTAGGCACTCAGAAGTCAAGAACATCCCTGTATGAAGTGGCATGTACGGATGGCAGGAAGGATGGTGAGACCAGCTCTTGAGTCAGCACGATGACCAGGGAGCTAATCTGAGTGGCAGCTGGCTTTGGGGTCTGCTCCCAGCACAGAGAAAGTGGGAACTAGAAATGGTACCCAAGGCCATGAGAAGGGCTGGGCCATCCTAAGGGCTCACCTGATGCCAGGCTGCTGGCCACATTTATTCAATAGCTGGGACGAAGAGCCTAGTGCAATGTTTTCTGAAGAGCAAATATAGCTGATTCACCATCTTTAAGATGATTTCTAATAGTATTACATTATGAGCTCGTTTTTACTTTATTTTAATGTTTATCAGTAAAAATATAAATCGCACATCAAATTCATAGTATAAAATAGATTTGGTTTTAAAGGAAATTTTTTTTTGAAAAATGACCCTAATTAAAAAGAACAAGTTTATTTTTAAAATACGAAGGTAGGCAACAGAAGATACATAGATGTGGCAATGATCACACACAGAAGGACTGAAGTTTGGGGTTTGGAGTCAGGATGACCTTCGGTCAAATCAAGTGATTTGGGATCAGCCTTCACCTCTCCACGTTACTTTCTCGTGACGCCATGAGGCTAGAGCACCCTTTGCACACGGCCAGGGAGGACAGCAAGTGGGTCACCAGGTACTCCCAACGCCGGAAATGCTCAGCAAAGGGGGCTAGTCCCAGAAACAAAAGGACACTGGTCCTTTCTTCCAGGGCATGCCCTACGCTCAGCACATAGTCAGTCAACAGTTGCAGAAGCAAAGCAGAACTCACCAAGCAGCAAAGCCTGCCAGGCCCCACTGTCCTGCTGCCAACTAATGTGACAGTCATCCCAGAGGACCAGGTCCCGTGGGGCCAGATGTGTCCCCCTGGGTGTTCTAGTCCAAGCCTGACTTTATTTGGGGTTTTGTTTGTTTGTTTCTTTTAATGAATGAGGGATCAAGGTCTAGAAAGATCAAGTCACTTGTCCAAGGTCACATGCCAGAATCAAAACGAGGTGCCCCCTCGGCGAGCACTAACCTAGTGACTCTGTGGTGAGCCTGGCACTGCGCCCTGTTCTTTCCATAGATCGTCGCAGCTGGACTGTGAGGACAGCGCCCCTAACAGCGCCCCTAATGTTATACGCAAAGGCTGAGGCACAGAGAAGGCGGACCGTGCATCCACAGTCACACAGCTAGAGTTGCAAGAGCCAGGACAGGAACCCCCCAAGTCCAACTCCAGATGAAGAGCCCTGTTCTTAACCTACAGCACCAGGGATCAGCAAACCACGGCCCAAGGACCAAGCCAGCCTGCTGCATGTTTTCTAATGGCAGGAGAGCTAAGGGTGGCTTTTATGCTTGTAAACGGTTGGAGAAAAGTAAAAAGAAGAATGTTTTGTGACATGTAAAAATTACATTCCTGTGCCCATAAATAAAGTTTTATGCGAACACAACATTGACATATTATCCGTGGCAGCAGAGTGGACGGTGGCATCGGGGCATGTGTGGCCCACAAAGCTCACGGTATTTCCCATCTGGTCCTTCACAGAGAAAGTTAGCTGACCCTGCACTCCACTGCCTGGGAACTTCCATACCCAAAGTGCGGAAGGGAAAAAGGGGGGGCCTTAGTCTGTGGGGTGTCATCCCAGGAAATTCAAAGGAGGAGGGGCAGGGAAAGAAGGTAAAAGGAGAGAAAAAGAAAAGAGCCGTCGGCGCTGATGGAATGCTAGCTGTGGACATGCAGTTCCTAATCCTAGATTACAAAGGCAAGGGGAGACAGAGGTCTCAGTTTTGGAAATAAGTCTTCCCCCCACCAGCTGGGGCCAGTGTGATAATTGGCAGGGTAGAAATCCATACCCAAGTGACAACCAGGAAGGGGAGCCCCCGAGACAGGGGCACTGCAGAAATACTTTAGGTGCTTGAGTAGTTTTCATAAATTCATGTAATTATTTTAATTAAAAATCTTTAAAATATTAATGGGGGGAGGTCCAAAGCGGAGTTAATTATAGCAGCTCTACTCACCACATGTACTTAAGACTCCTCCAGCTTTTCCATGAGGAACCGCTGCTTGCCAGGGGGTTATAATTCAGCCAAATAAGTCGGCCACAGGCTGAAGCTTGACACGCCAGTTTGCAGGGTAGGAATTAATTGTTTAATTGATTTGAATATCCAAGGCCTATACATGGAGGGGGAAAAAAATCACCATATGTTGTCATTTCAGGGAGGGGTGTCCTGAAGACACCTGCCCTTTTTGTAGCTCACAGGCCATCACTGCCCCTATTAAAACTCTACCATCCGTCATCACAGTTCAAAAATATACACCTGTATGCAGTTTTGCACCGAAAGGTTCTAAGTACCTTACTTAGCTCTTAAATTCGTGCCTAAGTTTCTCTCCAAATGAGCTTCATTAATCTGGAAAGGAAAGGATTTTGCCTGTTCATGTGAATGTGTTTTAAAATAAGCCTTTTCATTTTCGGTAGCTTCAATATACAACCAGCGGCAATCGCAGGCTTTCCTTCCTTGGCTGAAACCCGATCATTAAACCAACTTCACTATTAGGGGGGATATCTGGCCGGAAAATGCATTTTATCCCTGAAGAATATGCTATATTAGTGAGAAAATTACTCTAAATGGGAACAAAGCTGACAACTGCTGCTTGCAGACTAATGGCCTAGTGTATATATCGTACCCAAAAAGCATGTCATCACCCGACTGTTGAGCGGATCACTGGCGTGAGGTTCTGGTTGGCACAAATGGGACATTACAATGTCGGAAAGGTTTTAGGGATTTTGGTGGGTTTCTTCTCACCCTTCTGTCTTTTACTTAAAGCCAACGGATGCAGTATCAGCATAACCTGGAAATCCAGGTGAGCCCAATGCTGTGGTCACCAGCAGGTAGAAATGCATCCTATTCTTACTTCTATATAGGATTGTCCTATAGCCATTTTATGCAAAATCGCATCCTGTGAATGGCAGGATATTTTCTCACCCACTGCAGAGTTGTTCAACTCAACCTATTTAGGGACTTGGAAGATGCCCTGGAGCCCCACAGACAACACGAGACATCATGGCAATGACTCCTTTTTCAGGAGAGAGAAATTGTGCCATTGCACTGCACAGTAAACGCAGTCGCTAGGAGGAGGAAAGGAAGAATGGGCCCTGAGAAGTCCTCAACACCAAAATGTGAGTGCTATAATAAGAAAAAAAAAATGCATTTGTTTCATTTCCAATCCTTGATACCATCTTCTTCATGAGAACAGATTCAAATTTGGGACCATTTTCCGTTCTTATTAAGAGGAAAGTGGTACCACTTTTAATAAAGTCCAAGAACATTCGTTAATAGAATGCATTCCCCATCCACCTACAGACGTAGGGGAAGCCACATCGGGGACTCGGACATTCAGGTGAAGGCCCCCTCGGGCTCTGTGTGTACCGAGGGAAGATCTGAGAGGGACGGTGCCGGAACAATAGGAACCATTAGAACTTTATTCTTTTCTTGTGCTTCTTCGAATCTCCTAATTCAGATGTTATAGCCCATCAATTTTTTATTAGAGCATAACTCATTTACTGAGATTGCTCCTTTTGAAAGCGTTTGGCGACCGGATCTCTCTTACTGAAGACGCGTGGCCAGGAGTGGAGATGTGGATGGGTAGCGCCGTGGCCGCAGGATGGTTCTTTACAGCCTGCGACAGCCACACGCTGAACTAACAAGGCAGATGAGCGGGCCGGGGCAAGAAGTGAGGGAGCAGACAATCCCATCCTTCACCGCCGTGCAGAGAGGAGGGGACGCCAGCGGGACCCTGAGTACCGCGTGGGTCCTCGGACAGGAGCAGCCAGCACCTCCAAGAAAGTCACATGCCTGCCCTTCTCCCCGCCCACGTGCAGCTCTGGGTGCCAGAAACAAGCATGCCGCCCGTGTCTATCTGCCCTGAAAACACAGACACGTGTCAGGCTTTTCAAGTTCAAAACCTCATATCCTCTTTAGTTCTGTAACTGACGTTTCAAAAGCCGAAGTTTTACGTGCCTTAAGAAATCCTTAAATAAGAACCGTATTTATGGTCACGTAGTATTTAAGCAAACAGCAAGTTGATGATAATTACTCAGGTCACATTTACTAAGCTAAAACAGTGAGCGAGGCACGGTTCTGGGCATTGTGAGGGTGCAAAGGGCATCTAGCAGCAAAAGGGTCTACTTGAGAAGACTGCCAGTAATGCCAGGCAAGATGTCATAGGATGACCAAGCTGGAAGGAAGTTTGGAGGCCAGTTAGTCCAATGTGCCCATTTTACAGATGAGTACTCAAAATCAAAGAAGTGAAGTGACTTGCTCTGGCAGAACCAGAGCCACAATTGTTTCATTGCTCATATATTATATTTATTATACTCTATAAATGCCAATATAATTATTACTATGTGCCATGCATTGCACTTTAGTTGCCACACGGAGCCTTCTAAACAACCCTACAAGGTAGGGAGTGTTATTCTCCCCATTTATAGGCAAGGAAACTGAGGCTCAGAGGGGTTAAGTCATTAGCTTAAGGGCACACAATTAGTGACAGAGCCCCCCAGGATCCCAACCCAGCTCTGTCTGTTTGCAGAGCTAGATCTCTCATGCACTAGGCTCCAGAGAACCAGTGTAAAGTATGCTCCATGCCCCCAACTGCTTGCAAAACTCCAGTGAATTGATGGTGTCTTCTGTGAGCCCTCCCGGCCCCTCAGCAGAGGCGACTGTCCCCTCCATGGCCCCCTGTCCTCAGGTCCTCAGTGTGCACCTCTCTGGCTGCCTCCATCTCGCTGTGCTTGATTTGTGTGTCTCTGTCCGAGCCCACACCAGGTCCCGCCTTCCGTATCCCCAGCCCACGGCCCAGGGCTGGGCACGTGGCAGGTCCCCAGGCAATATCAATTGAATGACTCCAATGAGTCTGGAAAACTGTACCCCCAGCTGCACTCCAATAATCCCCCGCAGATGGCTGGCCAAACACGCACAGAGTCCACAGGGTTATTAGAGCTGTCCTTGCCTTTGGGTTCCAGCCAGACCTTCCACCCACACAGCACCCCATGCAGGTGGGGGGTTGGGATGGACCCCTCATTTTCTTCCACTGTAGCCCAGCTATTGGGGGGACATACTCTGTTTCACACACACACACACACACACACACACACACAATGGTCACTAGAAACTAAACCCCCTTCTCCCTCCAGATACCACCCCCTTCTTCTTTCTAGCCTCTGATGCTCCCCGGTGGTCCGTCCTCAGGCATTTCCACTCTTTTGCATTCTGGAAGGGAAGGAAAGCAACCCAGGAGGGCAGGGGTTCTTTGGAGGCTACGATTAGCACATCCACCAAATTTCAACACTGCCGGGACAGCCTCCCCTCAGTCCCTGAGCACCACGACGGCTCTTGCTCACCCTTGAGCGGCATCACCAAATGCCCCTGTTGCTATCCGGACCTCAGCGAGCTACCAGGAAGTACGAGTGTGTATGCTGAGCAGGGGAGGATACGGCAGGTCGGAGAGACCATCCTTCCACTCACCAGAACCCAGCCACTCATACAAGCGACTTCACGGCTCGGCTTTGGTCTGTTGCACTATTAAATAACAGACAAGATTTTAGAAAAGCAATTTATCCTTGGGTTTCAAGAAAACTAAATGCTGTTACTCTCACTTAGTGACAAGCCATCTCCTTAAAACTCCAGCGGAGTTGTAGTAAATATTGAAATGCCGACTTTCATCAGTGATGGGGAAACTGAATGCTCCTGAGAATATAAAATTTTAATGTCAGTGTCTCACCAATTTGTGCAAGTATTGAAATACAATAAAGATATTTATACTGAAGCTACCAAAGGTACAATGGACTCCTTTTTCTCAATAATTCAGAACACACTTCAGCACTTATCATCTCCCCCATTCGCCACTCTTACTAATACCACAAAATCCTGAATCTGGAAAAAATTTTTAAGCTCTTGTTTATTGAACGCCTGCATGTGCCAGCCTTGGTTTTATTCTTGTAATGAACACCATTTGACTCAATCGTCCAAAGTCCTGGGAGGAAAGGTCCATGAGCCCACCTACAGATGCAGACACTGGGTTTGTACAGCTTGGTGGTAGCAGTGCCAGGATTCTAATCCAGGTCTGTCTACACAGCCTCCATTTCCACTTTATGTCCTTAGAATATGCTGGGGTTTCAGGTGAACCTGTGCCAGTCTTGACATATCCTGGAATGTGGATTGTTTTCTGCTATGGGGGATTTTTTTTTTTAAATAAATCTTCATCAGCCTGCATATCTGGCTCTCTTGTTCACTTACCTCTTGTTCTCACTGCTCTTCTTTCTCTTTCTCAGGTTACCAAAGAATTGCAGTTTGGACTTTCCGGCTTTTGAGACTCTAGGTGAATAACCCATTGCCAAGGTCACAGCCAAAACCTGCTGGTGACAGGAAATGTGGTGAGCCAAAGGCAACTCCATGCACTCCTGGTGTCTTCCTAAGATCTTGCTTTTCTAACAAATAACAGTTGAGACAAATCTCAAGCTTCTGACATGAGAGGCCCACTGAGGACCCATGGTATTAGCATAAATGAAAACGGAGGAACTATACAAGCATAGCAAAAAGGATCAACCACGGTAATAATTTAAAAACGCCAATTGAAAACTAAGACTTTATGCTTACCAAACTAGTATAAATCTCATAAATAATGGCACCAAATGCTGAAGAGGGTGTGATAAATTTTCATATTTTGCTTGTGGGAAAATAAATTGGTACACTCCTTTTAGGAAACAATTTAGTAATACATAAAGAAGACTTAAAAACACTCGCCCCTTGGCTTGACAATTGCTTTGGGAGTTTTAACCCACCCAAATAATCTGAAATTTTAAAAATGTTTTGTTTACAAAGCTGTTTAGTAAAATAATATTTATAGCAACATAGATACAAAAAACATGAAATGACTCAAAGCCACAATAATAGAGAAATGGTTAAGTAATTTATGGTCCACATGCAAAAAACAGAATAGAATAAAATATTAGGCAACCATGAAAACTGTGATAGTAAAATTGTGTGACTGTTTTCTGTTCTTTTTGTTTTTTCACAAACTCAGGAGTTCTTGCTAATATGCCATTCAATTTTGAAAAATGAAATGTATGTATTATAAACACTCATACAAGAAAAAAGAAGAAAAAGAAATACACTAAAATCCTTACAGTGACATTCTCTAAGTGGTTGTATTATTCTTACTTCTTTTATTCTTATTTTCTTATTTGACCTTTCTACATTTTATTTCTATAATCAAAAAAAAAGCCCACAATGCTACGTCAGCAGAGCACTTGTGCAACAAACAAATAGGTATGATATCAGGTTAGTGGGGAGGAAACAGAAATTATAAGGAATATGATTTCCATTTTTGCATTTAAAAGAAAGAAAAAAACATTAAAATATTACAGTGAAGCATCATTAAAATGGGTGCTTATACTTCCTCTTCCTATTTTTCTCTATTTTTAAATTTTTCTAACATGGTGACGCTATTTTCGTAATTTCTTTAAAAATTTTATAATTTTGAAAAGTGGCTTTATTAACCATGAGGTGGACATACAAATAAAACCAACCTGAATCACTAAATCCTAACTCAAGGATGTCCCGTGAATGGGGGTTGATGCTGAGGAGTTCTACCCAGAGGTCGTTATGATGTCACCGTTATCACTATACTGAGCCAGATCATTTTGCTTAAAAAACATTCTTACGACTGCAGCAAATCTGAGTGCACGTCTGTCTCCATACAGGCAGAGCAGTGGGACGGCGCATGCGCACACCCAGTCACGCGCACGCGCACGCCGCGTGGCGATGGGGGTTGCTTACTTGGCCTCCCTAAACCTCAAATCACCATCTATCCGGCGGGGGTGGCTCACCACCTCAGAGGACTGAGTTGAGGACTAATTTCAACCCATGTGAAGCTCTCAGCGCGTGTGCACCTGCTGTCTGGTCTGCACTCGGTGAAGCATAGCTGTTGGGAAGGACAGCAGTTCTGGGTCTCCCAACAAGGGTGTTCAGAAGTTTGTCAGCAGCCCACGAGCCCACAAGCTCATGATCACACCCTAATTTCTCAGCATCTCAAGTAAGGGGCCTAGACAATCAGGCAGCCAAGCAACTAACTTACCATCCAAACCAGAAACAGCCAGGAGAGCGCAACAGCGTGCCATTAATATGAAGGCAGAAACGACTGGTGCTGGTGCGAAAGGGGACGGCCCCAGGCTGAGGAGCCTGTGCCCACCCTCCTAGCAGTAACAGTCCCTGCAAGGCCGGAGATGGCTCCTGAAACTCCGCCAACTGTGGACTTTCAGTCTCATATTAAGGGATTGAACGAATGAGTTAACCATTCACCACTATCTCCTAGAACAAGAGCCCAGAGGGAACGAGACCTGGAACATAAAGGATTTTTGCATCTTTATCAAGGTGTAATTTACATGTAATAAAATATACTCCTGTTAAGTGTACTGTTGAAAGAATTTGTATAAATATATACACCCATATAATCAAAATCAAGATGTGGAACATTTTCTTCACCTCCGGAAGGTTCCCCATGTCACTTTGCAGTTAGTGCCTCCTTCAACCCCCAGCCCCAGGCAAAAACTGATCAGTAGCCTGCTGCTATCGATTAGTTTTGCCTATTCTGGAATTTTATATAAATGGAATCACACATTAGGTACTCTTGTGTCTGGCTTCTTTTGTTCAGCACCATCCATGTTGCATGTATCAGCAGTTCGTTCCCTTTCATTGCTGAACAGCATTCCCTTGTGTAGATACAGCAGGATCTGGTTATCCATTCACCTTTGAGGGACATTTGAGGCTATTATGAATAAAGTTTCCATAGATATTCCTGTTCAAGTCCTCTGGTGGGCATATGCTTTCATTCCCTTTGCATAAATACCCAGGAGTGGAATTTGAGTTCATATGGTAAATTTGTTTAACTTACAAAGAAACTGCCAAGACGCTTTATAAGGTGGTTGGACAATTTTTCATTCCACGAGCAATGTGTGCGTTTCAGCGGCTTCCACATTCTCACCAACACTTAATATTATCAGCCTTTTTAATTTTAGTCACTCTGGTGCATGAGTAGGTCATTTTGATTTTAATTTGCATTTCCATGGTGACAGCTGATGTTGAACATCTTCTCATACACTTATTGGCCACTCATATATCTTCTTCTGTCAAACATCCTTTCAAATATTTTGAAAATTAAGTTGTATTCTTATTGTTGAGCTGTGAGAGCACTTTGCAATTCTGAATGAGAACTTTGTCTATGAATGTAAGACTGTAACAAATATACAAACATATAATGACATAAAATATATACATTACGTTTATAGCTTTGGGGTGTGTGTGTGTAGCCTAAGAAATCTTACCCACCTTCAAATCACAAAGCTTTTTTCTATTTTTTCCTAGAAGTTTTAGAGTTTTAACTTTTAAATTTAGGCCTATGATCTGTTTTGAGTTCATATTTGTGTGTGGCATGAGGTCAGTGTCAAAGTTCATTTTTTTCCATGTGAACATCAAGTTGTTCCAGCACCACTTTTTAGGACTCTCCTTACCCTACTGAACACTGGGAACATAGTGTTCATAGTCCTTGTCAGATCCTCAAATGTGGCCAATCTCGGATTTAGTCTGAGTATGTTGAAAGTAGGTTTTTATAATGGATGGTTGAGAGATTGACCTGAAATGATCTCAAGGCCCCTTCCCAAACTTAAAATTCCACACCTCTGTGTTTTTGAGACCCCCAAGCAGGAAACATTCTCCAGGCATGCATAATTGTCTAAGCCCACTTAGGGGGTCCCTGGACAAAGAGAGAACATTCCTGAAGTCATTGGCAAATCAAGAGTGCACAGGAGACTCACACCAGAACCCGGAACCATCCCAGAACACTCCAAACTCCAGTGTAATCTCTGCAGTTCCTAAAGCAAATGAAGTCCTTTCAAAATATTCAGACACCTGGGGGAAGCAGAAATTCTTGAATAAGTTATGATGTATTAAGTCATACCTATTCTTACTCTAACAAAAGTTGATGTTGTCGGTGTAGAGATATTTGCGTTGCCAACTTGTGGTCTCTGCTTAAATTCTTCTTTTATGGGACATACTCAGACCCAGCTTGAAAATATGATTTCAGCCTCCGCAGCACCGATCAATACAGCCGGTGCTGGGGAAGAAGGTTTCACGATGAGAAAGCTTTACACATTCTGGCCGGTTCCACTCTGAGACTGCAGAGCAGCCGAAAAGCCATACAATGTGGCTTTTGTTCAAGTGGCAATTAGCGGAAATTATGGAACGGGGACAGTGTCATTGTGCAAAGGATTCAGCCGAAGTAGACACAGACCAGTTTTCATTAGACCAGCCAAAAGCTGGAGAACCCTCTTTTAAAAAATTAAACAAGCTCTCAGCCCATTTGCTCCAGTTCTAACAATGCTGGGCAGTGCGCTTCCTCCCGCCGGCGGACAGGCCTGGAGGACGCGATGGGGGATCTCTCTAAGTGTTGGGTCTTTGATTGACAAATGTATTCAAGGGGAAATTGCTGGTGTGATTTTATTCATTATTAGGAAAATGAAGGAGCTGAATTGTGCTGTCTTGTAGCTCCCGTGCCAGTTATAATAGTATCTCTGGTTATTTTAGTTTAGTTTAAATCAGACATTGGAGTATGAAGATTCATTTTTGTCCCCATGGGGCAGGAGAGTCTGGAGAGGGAGCTCAGAGTAATTAAAGGAGGGAGGGGTGGAGCAGCGCCACAGTCACAGAATTGCTGACTTGGGAGGTGACTCCAGGCTCACCTGGTCTACTTCAGCCTCCTGCAGTCGTTAAGAAACAAACCTCATTTGGAAGGGGTTGTTGCAAAAGAAAAAAAAAAAAAAAGAAAGGAACAAACAAACCAACCAACTGCCCCTTCCACACAGCACCCCTTTATCGTGCCCGACCACCCCGAGTCTTCTCCCATCTGAACACCTGCCATGTTTCCAGGCACTCGGAGTCCTCACCAGCCGCCCCTTCCTCCTGCATGCTCCTGTCTCTCATCCCGCCCCAAACACGGGAGCTGGGCCTACCTGTGGGCGAGGAAGCCTGGAAGCCCCCGGCCACCACTGCCGCGGCTCTCAGGAGCCAACTATAGAAAAATGCTCTTGCCTCCTCCCGACGTCACCGGGAAGAGCCAACCGGAGCAATGTAGCAAACGGAAGCCAGGCTGTGTCCCAGGATGAGCCCCAGTTCCAGGTCAGCTCCCCTTTCCAGTGAGGAGGAAGAGGGGACCCAGCCCATGCCACCAGGGTCGGAAAGGACGGCCGCCTCTGCCCGGCTAGGCCCTGCCCTCCCAAGAATGTCTGGACGTGTGTCTGCCGAGAGCCGGCCGGGCGGGGGCCCACCCGGGCAAAGGCCCCGAGTGGCGGGGCGACAGCCGTTCCAGGAGAGAGGTTTCCTCATCTCTAAAACAAAATCGTTATCATTTTTTCTCTCTCCTACAGCCTTCGAAGAGGAGTCATTCTTCACCTCCCTGAACGCCCGACTCGCTGAACGCCCGACTCGCCTTCCTGAAAGGGATCCAGGCTGGTGTCACATGGAGGGTGGTCCGGGGGCCGCAGACGTGGGACCTGGACCTAGACGTATGGGAAGTGCCCGGACGGGGCCTGGGTATGAAGTAAGCACTGGGCACTAGGAAGCTTCTCAGTCACCGTCTTTGTGGTTGTCATTCGTGTAGTGTGGCCCTGGGCCTCAGCGTCACCCGGGCGGGATCCATTGGCGTGGCTGCCCGGGCCCCGGAGCAGCAGCCGTCTGTTCCCAGGCATTCGTTAGCAGGAGAAATTTCCTGCCTCTCGTGCAGAGTCCTGGTAGTGACTCAGACACGGCCCTAAACAGATTGCAAGTGTTTCCTCTCCGGAAAAGAGGATGCACATAAAATGCAATGTTTCCTTAAGGGTGTGGGGATTTTCTTTCTTATAATCAATCAAGTTTTTAAGCATTTAGGACACAAATAGAATGCATCTTTTTTTCGTTAATCATCACTAAGTTCCCCTCCAGATGGAAAAATTCCGGGTTTTTAAATTAAGACCATCATGACTGCCAACATTGCCATGTTCCTGTGTGTTTTGGAGCTGGCAAGGGCCTTGAAGACCACCTCACTCAACGCCTTGACTTCCAGATCAGGAGAACCAGGGCTTGGGAGGGTGAAGTGACCTTCCCAAGGTCACACAGCAAGTCAGGGACAAAGCTGAGATAAACCGCAAGCCTCTAGAGCCACAATCACAATGCTTCATTCCTTATTGTGCTGCCAGAAAAGAGTACCATGGGAATGAGAATGAAATTAGGTTTCTTTCTAAACGTTAATATTGTGCATCACCTGCAATTGGCTGTTGCTGGACTTTCACCAAGTGGGGAGGGTACGTTTGTGATACCAGCACAGACAACTGCCTGCGCCAGCAGAGAGGGTCCTCGCCCTCTGCTCAGAAAGCAATTCAAGCTCAGAGGCATGAGTGAGGGAAAGAGTTCAGACACGAGGCAAAAGAGGAAAAGCAGAGAGGTTTACTGAAAGCAAAGTACACTCTTACAAGAAATGAGCGGACTGCTCCAGAGAGGAACGGTGCCACCCCAGGGTGAGGGCCTGTCCTTTTATGCTAATGCCTAATAACATGCTAAGCTGGGGTGGAATATTCATGGGTTTTCTGGGAAAAGGGTGGAGAGTTCCTAAAACTAGGAACCCCTGCCCCTTTCTTGCCCTTACAGGTTAACTTCTGGGAGTTGCCGTGGCATTTGTAAACTGTCTCTGCGCTGGTGGGCGTGATTTTTACTACGTTAATGTGGGTGGTTCATTTAGGGACACTGTTGCCTCAACTGTGCACAGACCCTAATTAAAGGGCTCCCCCTCTTTTACCTTAGATAAAGATGTTGTGGCCACAGTAAAATAGCTAACGCATCCCTATTGGCTACAGTTATCTTAGCTGAGCATATTCTCATTCCTGTGACTTTCCTGTTTTGTGGGCTTCTCCTTCTGACTCCTGCCCTCTTTGCCTGCAGGACATCTGACTCCTGTCTCACCTGCAGGGGCCTGTCTTAACGGATGGCTTATGTGTGGGGCTGAAATTCACCCAGGCAGGGAAGGGCTGCCTGGAGGAGTCCCTCTGTCCACTGAAACAGTTCCACAAGATGCCACAGTGACACCAAGCCAAGGGGCAAAGTACACATACATATCCATACATATACAGATCCAGCAAGTAGAGCACAGAACATACTTAGACTTTAAAAAGTATATGCTGCTTATCTGAAATTTAAATTTAACTGGGCATTCCATATTTTATCTGGCAACCTTAACCAAACCAAGAGTCTTTAAAAATAAAACATTCAAACATAAGCCCCAAATCGAAAGCCACAAGGATAGA